AGAACAACCGGAATGGGATTAATGAAGCATCAACTTCAACGTGTCAGGAGGTTCTGGGTCATAAGAAACACCTTCATAAAAAATGCATCTCCATCAAAATCCTGGACAGGATTCAAAAAAAGAAGAACAAGAAGACACCAATTAACAACAGTCAAACAAGAACAGGGAAAGTCAAGGCACAGGCTGAATACACATAAGCAAACAATCAAGTAAAGAAGAGCATTAGAGCCGACGAGCATAAATACGTGGAAGACCTGGCAATGACAGTGGAAAAAGCTTCAACAGAAGGAAATATCAGACAACTATATCGTATAACTGTTGGGGAGATCAAGAAAACTCCTAGAAAAAAGCCAACAAAGACTGTGAAAACGCTGAGAGACATTTTATCCAATCAGCACTCACTAGAAGTTTTACCAGAAACACCTAGAAATTGAAAAGTCACATGTCGAGTTTCTGATTGGATAATTTCCTATACTGCTACTATGTCTAGTAGTATTCCAGAATTTTCGGGAAACCCAAGAACATCTAAAATACTATAAAAACCCTAGATTTTTCTGTATGTAAATGAACCTTTGGAGTAAAGTGTTTCTTACATATTTCACGCCTTTTCTCTCGTGTTCGAATCGCTGTGTAGATTTAGCCTGTGGGTTATTAGAAGAGCTTAGGAACCGAATCTAGCGTTCAGTTAGCAAGACTTATCGATAAAGAAAAAACTAGCAGGGAAATATGGTGGACCAAAGCGACCAGTCAATCAAACAGTAAGCAAGCCTATCGCTAAGATTCAAGAACAGCGGAACGGGTGTGTAGAACATTCTGAAGAACTTGAAAATGGACCAGCCCCACTAAACCCACTGGACATCGAAGCAGCATATACAATCTTCCTATGGCTGTCGACTGAAGGAATCAGCATGAACACCAAACAGATCAAGAGTGGGAAAGCAGCGGGATCAGACAATGTACCAGCTTAAGCGCCGAAATCAAACATTCAGGTAACTGCAAGGATGCTCCACATCCTATTCAGAAGGATCTGGGTAGAAGAACAAATGCCGACAGACTGAAAAGAAGGATACATCATCAAGAGACCAAAACAGCATATCTGAGTAAATGTGAAAATTACATAGGCATTATAATGCTATCAGTTCCATGAAACGTTTTCAGGTGTTTTTGGACCGAATGAAAGATTCAGTAGGCACCCAACTTCGAGATCAACGGGTTGGATTCCATAAGGATCAGTCGTGTTAAGACCAAATCACAACACTATATATCATTGTTGAACAATCAGCTGAACGGAACTCGTCACTATATATCAACTTCCTTGACTAAAAGAAAGCATTTAACAGAGCCGATATGGGGGTTGTATGGAACCTTCTTAAACACTATAATGTACCTGAGAAAATAATCAACATCATACGGAATTCATTTGACGGATTAAAATGCAAAGTGGTACATGCAGAACAGCTGACAAATGCATTCTAAGTGAGGACCGGAGTCAGATAAGGCTACTTACTCCCCCCTTTTTTTTCTCTTTCATCTGGTGGTTGACTGAACTATGATGACCTCAACATCTAACGGGAAGCACGAAATATGATGGACAGCTTGCATGCGGCTAGACGATTTGTACTTCTTAGATGATCCATACCTTCTACCCAGTACAAACCAACAAATGCAGGTCATGATAACCAGTGTAATAGAAGCTTCTGCATCAGTAGGCTTCATCATACACAAAGAAAAAACCGAGATCCCCAAATACAATACCGAGAGCATTAGCCCAATCACACAATAGAGAAGTTCTGGAAGAGGTGGAAACTTTCACGTGTCTGGGCAGAACAACTGATAGACAAGGGGAACCTGGTAAAGATATGAAGGCACGGGTTGGAAAAGCAAGGATAGCATTTCTACAGTTAAAGAATATATACAACTCAAAACAACAACCAATCAATATCAAAGTCAGAATTTTGAATACGAACGTCAAGATAGTTCTATTGAATGGAGCTGAAACTTGGGGAACTGTCGCAACCATCATAAAAATAGTAGAAATATCTATAACCGATTGTCTACTCAAAATATTCCAGACCCGTCGGCCGGATACTAACGGTAACAACCTATCATAGCAGAGAACAAACTGGCTTACACCTGAAGAGGAAACTGGGAAAAAACGTTGGAGGTGGATAAGACATACACTGTGGAAATTATAAAACTGTATCAAGAGGCAAGACCTAATTTGGGATTTTGAAAGGAAAAGGAATACAGAAAGACAAAGAAACATATTGCAACGGAAATAGGAAGGAGACATTAAAAGAATGGATACCAACTAGATGGGATTACCCAGGACAGAGTTGGATGGAGAATGCTGGTGGGCGGCCTATGCTCCTCGATGGATAACATCCGCAAGTATGTCAAGTGTCTATCAATGTCAGTAGTTCCGATGAAATATTTTGAATTATTTCGTTAAAGCGTTAAAAAATTGAAATATACAGATTTGCAAGTCTACTTTTTTTTCTTACTTTCATATTCTGGTGCAATTTGTAAAGCTAGTCGAAAAACCTAAATGATCTTTTGCATAGAATCGCTGTTTGATATATGTAATAGTTGTTACGTATTTTAACAATTATTGTCACGTAACTATGTATAGTTAATTTTCCTTTCTCAAATTTTGACTGGGTTCACTTTCTCTGTTTGTATTCAAAAATGTCAGCTAAACTGAATGTATTACTTATAAGTAACATAAATTCTTAAACTAAAATAACTTCCTTATGGAGGATAATAGCATAAACCCTTACTTATTTTTTCGAACGACTCAACACATATTATATGCAAATAATCTTAGAAAAAGAATTTATTATCAATCTAACACCTCCGAATTCAGGTCTATTAACTAAGCTTCCCATGAAATTGAATGGTCTATTCACTCAGTCACATAGTGAAATTAAATTATCTAAGATCAGCAACTACTAGTCGGACAGACATTTGTTCAAAATATATCTCAAACAAAATCACATTGAAAAGCTTCGATGAATGAGCTGAGAATACTGGAATATTCTTGTAAAAACTCATGTATACATTGATATTTCTGCTATTTTGCTTAGAATGTATTTACGTTCTATTCAAGTGTTGTTTTGATTTTGAAACTAATTGAGTGAGTGAATTATCCGAAAATACTAGACAGTAGAGGAATATTAGGCCGAATAAGGGGACTTAACAGTAACGAAAGAGTTGAAATAATTTACAGTGATTGAACCCTCATTGTTGGTCATTGTTTATTCAATCCTCTAGTGCTCATCAGATCCTTTCAATCAAGTTGTAATATAGCCATCAGTCTAGGTGGATTAATATCGTCTAAAGAATAGTAACAAAACCCATGGAAGTAAAAAAGACTGGATATGGGAAATACTCAGGAAAGAAGAAATGATATGAGGGGATAATTGTTATGAAATAATATTGAAAATTAAGATTTTGAGGAAGGTTTAGAATTAATGTACTGAGACCGAATTTGAGCTATTTTCTAAGGTCTTCCATCATTGATCGTAATTATCAAGCGAAATAGTAACTATTATGCAAAGTAATTTAACTCATCGTTGCAATTATGGAAACTAGTCGCTTTTGGAATATTTTATTAGTAGCCTAACACTTCTTTCTTACTTTTGAGTGTCAAAATTTCATCATCAACTGACTATCAATATTATTGGCAGATGTTTGTCCTTGCTTCGTTGGGTTGACGATAACTCTATAACATTTGTCCTATTCTACAAACAGTTAATCATTCTATATTTTCTTTCTGGGTGTATAAATAAAGAACAATTAAGTCCTTGTTTGTGCTGGACGATCTAGACTTCGCAAATGATCTGGCTATTCTATCGCACACGTAACAACAAATGCAGAAGAGCACCAGTGTAGCAGCAGACTCAGCAGCAGTAGGTCTCAACATGCACAAAAGGAATAGCAAGATTCTCCTATACAACACAACATGCACCAATGACACCACACTTGACGGAGAAGATTTGGAAGGTGTAAAAACCTTTGCATATCTGGGCAGCACGGTGAACCTGATACAGATGTGAAGGCGCGGACTGGCAAAGCAAGAGCAGGATATTTACAGTTGAAGAACATCTGGAGCTGAAAACAACTCTCTGTTAATCAACACCAACATCAGAATTTTCAATACAAATGTCAAAACATTTCTACTGTATGGGGTGGAAACCTGGAGAACTACGAAAGCCATCATCCATAAGATACAAGTGTTCATCAACAGTTGTCTATACAAACTTCGAAATGGTTGACCAGACACTATCAGTAACAACCTACTGTGAGAGAGAACAAATCAGAATCCAGCGGAGGAAGAAATCAGGAAGAATCGCTGGAAGTGGATAGGACACACATTGAGGAAAGCACCCAACTGTATCACAAAGCAAGCCCTCAAATAGAATCCTCAAGGCCAAAAGAGAAAAGACGAAAGAATACATTACACCGAGAAATGGAAATAGACATGAGTGGAATGAACAAAAATAAAATAGAACTGGAAATGAAGATCCAAGACAGAATGGGTTGGAGAATGTAGGTCGGCGGCTTATGCTCCATTGGGAGTTATTTGTTATTTATTTATTTTAACACATAGATATCGGTACAAGGAGGCACCAAATACATATGCGCCATACAAATCTCATTTGATATGCGTGAGGGCTGTAATACTGCCCCGGTGCCCAAACCGAAGGAGGTGATCTTCTTAGGAGGCCACTCCACGAGCCTTCGACCTGAAGGTCTGATCCACAAGGCAGTGGAGCGTCGTAAGGAAATGCAGTCCCATGGAAGCCGGTGAACAACAATTTTTTCATACGCTATTTGTTTCCGCAGGATACTGGAGCCCATGTGCACCATTGGTTTGGAATCCGGTTAAAGTACCGGACATTCGCTTTTCGTCCTCTTATTTTCATAAACAGCAATAATGCCACGAGAAGGCAGTGAGTAGGACTTCCCTGGCAGAGGCTACATACACGTGGCCATGTGAGAGCATTTCGAGAGGGAGAGAGGACTCTCCCTACTCTCGGCCGTACCAGGGCATTTGGGAGCACTATTCGGAGTAAGAGGCCTAAGTAAATAAGTAAAGTAAGTCCTTGTCTGTATCATTCATTATCTTAAACTAAACAAACATCTAATATCGACTTCATTAATATAGAACAGTACACTGAAAGAATTCTTTAATAAATACCATGTATTTTTTTATTTTTTTGTAAAAAAAAATACTATTTACAATACACAGATGATAAAAATCTCTTCTTACTTTTTATCTTTAATCTAATAAACCATTTTCTAACATTAATTTTCTAACTTTCTCTTCTATTTCAGCATAGGATAATTGTTTACATTGCTTATTATTATTATTTTTTGATGGTTTACATTTTCTCTTTATTTTTTTCATTTTCATTTGAATTGGTTTATTTGTTGTCGTTGTTGTTGTTGGTGGTGGTGGTGGTAGTGATGTTGTTGCTATGGGCAATAAATCTTGTTTGATTACATTATCAGCTTGTAATGATTTTGAATGATTTATAAAATTGAATTTTGTTAATGATTTATTCAATACATTTTTGAATAGATTACTATTAGACATGTGTAAATATTGATCAAATAAATTAAATGCATCATTTAAATATTGATTAGTATGATGATTATAATTTAATAATTCTTTGATAATTACATTACGTACATAATGATAACGTTCATTATTGGATGGAATGAAACTAATACAATGACATATATTATGAAAAAGATAACCACTTGGAAACATAAAATAAATCGATAAAAAATTTAAACAAGTTTTTAATTGATTTTTTTGATTAATTGTTACTATGGTATCTAATAAATGAATTAATGTATATAATGTTATATAAATCATTTGTAATTGACCATATCTATGTACATAATGAATATGTAATTTATTTAATTGTTTTTTATTAATAATTTTTTTATTATTTATCAAAGATTTTATATGTTTTAGAAAATAATTTGCACATTTATAATAATGTTTATTTAATAATTTATAGGATGATAAATGATGATTAGAGTGAATGGTTAATAAATATGTACATATACATAGAGCACCAAATGTCAATGAGATAGGACATTGAGTGATATCATCAATATTACTAGTAGTATTAGTAGTAGTATTAGTATTAGTAGTATTAGTAGTAGTATAAAGTGGTATAGATTGACTTTTATAATTCAATACATTAATTAATACAATAGATATTAACCAATCATTATGTAATTTCATAAAATGATAATCCAGATTTAAATATTGTTGAAGAAATATTAAACGCGGATCTCTTTTTATATTTAGTTCATTATTATTATCATTATTATTACTAGGAGTAGTAGGAGGAGCAGTAGGAGGAGCAGGAGTAGGAGTAGGAGTAGGAGGAGTAGGGCTATTACATAATGATAATAAGTGTATTGGTTCAACGAATATTTTACGTTTTTTGATATGAAATGCATTTTTACGATCATATTCTATAATATAATACAAAGGATTATTATTATTATTATTATTATTATTATTATTATTATTATTATTATTTAATTGATTTAAACCAATTAATTGATTTGGATAACGTAATGTATAATTGGATTCAATGCCTAATAATAAATTATAAATTAATGTACGAAGATATATTGTATTAGAATAAATGGATGAATAATGATATAATGATTCAATACAACATAGACATATTGTACCATAGGATAAGATACTATCTAAAAATATTGGTAAAATTAGATATTTTCTAAATGAATTTAATAATTCAGCAGGCCAATATGTTGTTATTTTATATGAATTATTATGATTATTATTATTATTATTATTAATAGATTGATTAGTATTATAATCATTCAGTTCATTACCACCACCACCACCACCACCATCATCATCATCATCACCATCTTCTTCCACAGCATCATCATCATTATTGTTACTATGGTCATTAGGATGATCATCATCTTGTTCTTCTTTAATAGTTAATATTTGATTTTCATCAATTTCACTATCATATTCAGAAGAATATGATGAATTCAATGGTGATAATTGTTGTCGATTTGTGACAGATTTCATCATTGTATTACGACTATCATCTTCAGCATCATCATCATCATCATCATCTTCTTGTTCTTCTTCAACAGTTAATATTTCATTTTCATCAATTTCACTATCATATTCAGAAGGACATGATGAATTCGATAGTGATGATTGTTGTTGAACTGTGACAGATTTCATGATTGTATTACGACTATCATCTTCAGCAGCATCATCATCATCGTCTTCTTCTTTTTCTTTAATAGTTAATATTTGATTTTCATCAATTTCTTTATCATATTCAAAAGAACATGATGAATTCAATGGTGATAATTGTTGTTGCATTGTAACAGATTTCATCATTGTGTTACTACAACGACTACTACTACTATTACTACTACTGTTGCCAATACTACAATCAATATCAGATTTTATATTCTTTTTATTCATAAATGTAGAAATCTTTTTAAATAATTTCAAATCCTTATTAAAATGTAAATAGAATAAATTTGAATGAATATGATAAGTATGAATACTATACATTAATTGATGATATAATTGATTCCGTTCTAATTTAGGATATTTATTTAATAAACATTGAATTGGTTTATCAAGATTATTATTATTAAATTGTAATAACCAATTAATTAATTGTAATATAATTAATTTACGACGTTTTAATTTCATTTGTTTCGTCATAGTATGATAATGAAATAAGATTGTTTTGCTATTAAATGATATAGGTAATTTATGAATAAATTGATTGGATGAAATATAATCATTCCCTAATAAACTAGCTAATAATGAACGTTGATAAATCGATAAATTTTTTAAACCTGGTCCATTAATTAAAAATTTTTGACATTTTATATACATACATAATTGATTATATTTTTGACAAGAATAACATCGGATTATATTGATTATTGGTTTAAAGGATATTAATGATAATGGTAGAAATGAGACACTATCATCATTATCATCATTATTCATTGGATCATCATTATGATTAGGGATAGTGATATAAAAATCGGAATCATTACTTATAATTGGACATTTCAAATATATGCCTAAATTCATAACATTTTGATCAGCTTCACTATCACATGTAATATAATGAATATTTAATTGATTTAATATTTGAATAAATGTTATAATGGTTAATGGTGGAAGTAATTGAACATTATATAATGAATGAGTTGATGATAATTGATTATGTTTTATAGAATTTAATAATTGACGACATGTTTGCATACGTTGATAATTTCTTTTCATTTGTGTATTCAATTTGAAATGCTACATATATATTATGGAATCAAAAAAAAAAAAAATTAATATTATTAAAATAAGTAATGATGGATAATGACTAGCAGTGACTAGCGTTTCGTCCTATTCGAGACTCGTCAGCTGGATGTACTTGCATCTCAGAGTTGATAGTCACTCTGCGACTTGAACCCAGTAACATTCGCTTCAAACGTTATCGCGTTATCCACTCAGCTACTGAGTCCTGATAGCCACTTGCTTGTGCGATAGGGTGAAGTTGAAATTCACTTGGTACTGTTTAGCTTGTATCTTCCCATTGAGGTTTAAGACTGTAATTGATAAGTCTGTTATTGGTATATGCGAATACTGTGCGTATGCCTCGATATTACCTTAATACACAAGCTTTTTGTAACCAATAATGGATAGTGGCTAGCAGTGGAATCCAGTTTGACGCGCGTTTCGACCTATTTGCGACTGAGCATCAGCTGGATTTACCTGCATCTCAGAGTCGATGTTCACTCTGGGACTCGAACCCAGTAACATTCACTTCAAACATTATCACGTTATCTACTCAGCTAGTGAGTCCTGATAGCCACTTGCTTGTGCAATGAGGTAATGTTTAAATTCACTTGGTATTGTTATAACAGACTGATCATTTGCAGTCTTAAACCTCAATGCAAAGATACAAGCCAAACAATACCAAGTGAATTATTAAAATAATTTTATAAATATTCAAAATAATAATAATAATAATAATAAAAGAAACTACTGATTAAAAATTTGATTATAAGAACCAATCATACTATTAATCATCCATAGTTATGTAATATGAAGATGATTGTAAATAATTACAAAATCATCAGGTGGAATTTGATTGTGAAGCTTTTAAAAAAATTTTATCATTTAGTCCGACTTCATTAATATTAGTTGATAATAGTGAATACGAAGAATCCACTCAGGGGAATTGGGAAAACCCTCCTGATTTCAAACGAATGGCAGAAACATCTTATTTAGCTCCCAAATATTCTGGTACAGATGAGAATAGGGAGAGTCAACTCTAACTGTCGAAATGCTCTTACATGGCCACATGCATACAACCTTTGTCAGGGAAGTCCTACTCACTGCCTTCTAGTGGCGGGGATGTTGTTTACGAAATTGAGAGAACGAAAACCGGATATCTGGCGCTTTAACCGGGTTGGTAGACTCAGAGAGTTCACCTAGGGGAGTTGGAAAACCTTGATTCTAAACCAATAGTGTACATGGGCTCCAGGATCCTGAAGGACTAAATGGCGTATGAACCTATTGTTGGTTACCGACTACCGTGGGATCGCATCGCGCTACGTTGCTCCACTGCCTTGTGGATTACACTGTTAGGTCAAAGGCTCGCGGTGTGGTCTCCTAAGAAAACCACCTGCTTCGGTTTCGGCACCCGGGCAGTATATCAGCCTCCACAAAAATCAAATGATTTATGTGGCGCATATCTGTTTGGTGACTCCTTGTACCAATGTTTATGTATTTAAATAAATAAATAAAAATAAACAATTAGATAGTTAGACATATTGTATAACTGTAATACTAGGAAATCAGTCAATACAATACAGTAATACAGTAGGTGAGAATTAAACTCAGTAGAGTAAGGTATTAATCTTGTTGTCTGATGAATGATCTATAGAATTTGTGTCTGACAAATAATTACCTTCTACATAATTTTAAAAATGTTTATTTTACTGTTAAATATTTCGTAAACTAATATGTACAGCCCACAGAAATTCGCTAGAAATTATTATTGAAAGCTGGACATCGGTATTGGCTAGTTAAGGGCATTGGGTCAACAACTCGATCTTCTCGATAATGATAATATGACCTACTTACTAAGTAGAGGTTTATGTATCTGGGTTTGAGCCAAACTATCTTTTAATCGACGACTCATGATACAGAACAGCTATTTAAACCGAAGTAGGTGGAAAGACGTCTCAGCCTGTGACCTAATGATTAAAAGTTAAATTCTTTGACTGCCAAGCTGTCAATTTTTAGAATAATCATCACTCACTTAAGCATAAAATCAATTTGAGAAATCTGGCAAACACTTCAACAGAGATACAATAATACCTTACGTACAACAAAAGGCGATAACATTTAGTACTCTAAACAAAGTTATTTCAAATCGACGATTTCAAACCAAACTATCAAATCGGAAAAAATCAGTTCATAAAAAGTTAGATAAGATTTGATAGTAAATTATGAAATAGCCTATTAAGTGAATCAAAACCTGAACCACACTTACAAACCTCTGATACGGTTAATATCACGACTGTTACATACTCTGATAAAATAAGGAACGGGCACTTGTTGAAGGAAATAATTAGTCACTTTTTTAGCGAAATATCCTACTTCGGTTTCGACATTCAGGCAGTATCACAGCTCACACACAAACCAAATGACGATTACTACCGGAAAAAATATTCCTTTTTCAATTAGCATTCAGACAAATCACATTCACAATCATTTGATAACATTCATTTTTATTCCATTTATACTACGTTACTTATCTACTCTCTTTTAGGGTCAACTTCGATTCGTTGGACAGGAATGTTCTCTGCAACTGTCTATTGAGGAAGGGTGTGCCTGAGTTTATTGATATCTTGAAAGCCCTATATACTAACACCTCAGGCAAAGTGAGGGCATACAACCACCTCTCTCCATTGTTCCATTCAAGCAGTGGGTTTAGGACAGGGTTGTCAAATCTCACCCCTCCTCCAAAACTTTGCTATCGATAACCTTTTGGAAACAGTTCAGATGAACCTAGATGATGGTGGTGTGAACCTATTGCCTGGAGAAAGGCTTCTCAACCTTAAGTATACAGATCATATTGTCGTACTGGGAGGTGCTAACCAAGCCATACAATCCGCACTTAATCAATTGGAAAATTAGTGTCCGTAGGTATGGTGTGTTTTGCACCTTCGAAGTGCAAAGCACTTTAGCAAGACTAGCAGGACCCTGAACATGCACACACCCTGGATAGTGAGAAGATAGAAGTACCTGAGTTCACGTATCTGAGTAGCTGCATAAGTGCTGGTGAGGGTGTGAGTGATGAGATCAATTCATGTATAGTGAAAGCCAGAGTGGCTTATGCCAGTCTGGGACATCTTTGGCGCCTTCGTGATGTTAGTCTGGTTATAGAAGATCGGATCTGCCACGAATCGGTAAGAGTAGTTTTGTTCTGTGCTAGTGAAACCTGGCCCCTCCAAGTTGAGGATGTTAGACAACTCACTGTGTTTGATCATCGTTGTCTCCGGAGGATTGCTGACATTCAGTGGCAACACCATGTTAGCAATGAAGAGGTTCGGTATCGTCTGTTTGGGCACAACGAAGATAATTCAATCTGTATCACTATCTTGAAACAAGGGCATCGGTGGTTCGGATATGCCCTACGAATGTCGTCCCAAAGAATTCCACATCGTACATTATTTGCCGACACTAGAACCGGTTGGAGAAAGCGGAGAGGTGGTCAGTTTATAACATTGTATCGTGGTATGAGAGAAAGCTGTGCAGGAATGGCTCCTGTTGGCCCTTCAATACTCCCTGGTTGGGGTCCTAGAGATGGTGCAACACATGTTATCAGACATGGCTCAGAACAGAAGCCAGTGGCGATTCTGCTGTAACTTTCTTCATAAAAAATGAACGTAACTTCCTTAACTAGATGAATCCTTTCTGGTTGTATTTTTGATAACTCAACTGCCTCTCCCATTACTATTATTTCATCCTCATACACTTATTTCTGTTTGTTGTTATTCGCCTTTTCATTGTACACACTGTACATTCTCTATCTCTTCACAACCTCATTGTTATTGCGTGGTGCATATGTATTCGATGCCCCTTTGTACTAATATTTGTGTTCAAATAAATAAAACAAACAAATAAAAAACACATAGAAGGCGCGTTTGTCATTTTTAATGTTCTCAGTGGCTTATCAAAGTAATATTTATAAGTAATCCTCAAATCTATTTCACAACCTATGACTATAATGTCAGAGCAAAAAAAGATGGGACATTCCAGAATTTGTCTCTAACTCCAAGAAAGTATGGCCAACTGAATTTACAAAAAACCCTTCTTCCAAAGCCAACAAAAACAAAGTAATGTCCTATATTGTGATACTTCAAAGAAATCAACGTATTCAAAAGAACTATTTAAAGAATGAGTAGTTGGGATAATTCTGTCACTTTAAGTACATATAGCTAATAGTACCTCAAGTTTTACAACGTCAGTGTATCTACTGTCTACAAATCTAAGGACCCAAAAAAATTACACAAACACAATATTAAATGGAAAGGTCATTGTAAAACTACTTGATCGTTAATTCTAATATATTCATTTGCATAAGTGCTTGGACATTCTCATTTAGTACTATCAACCATGGCTATACCAAAAAGAATTTTAAACTCTACCAAAGTCTTTAAAAATTCTGCAAATATTGTCAAATATGATTAAGACTCAAGATCTATGGAAAGATAAAGGAAATCGATACTGACTTACAACAATTAATGCCTCCAAAAAGTAACCACGATTATCCTACAGACCTAAACCAGGTAGACTACACTGATTAACATGGCTCAGATCAATAGTCAATATCTTCATCAACATAAAACACGTCTTGATTTATATGTCCGTAGCTTTCTTCCAACCTACACTTACGTTTTCCAGCATCACATGTTGAGATAGGCAGTGGCCACGGTCACAATTATCCCAAACTATAACAATACTTATGATTAAAGTTCAGTGAAACCTTACAGACTGGCTCTGTATATTTGTGACGTTTTGAAAACCATAAAAATAGAGCTTAAAGTATAAAATTGTATTTAATTATTGATTTGCATAGAAAAAAAAAACCATTCATACTGATAAAAAAAACTTGAACTCACATCATGACACCCATCTAGAACAAAAATAGGGTTTATATTACACCGTTTTAATGTATTGATAAAACGATGAATTACTCCACTGAATGCTAAATATTCTCCATTAAATTGTGTATATAATCCAGAATCAAAATAGAGAAAATTTAAAAAATTCAATCCATCAATAATCACAGTTGTATTATGTAATTGATATTCAATAAAATTTCGTGGATCACTTTGTAAGTAGGTTGTTAATCCTCGTACACCCATAATGATGATAATAATAATAATAACAATAGGAATTGTTAAATAAAATAGTTCAATCCCCAGTAATATGATTTTGGCTTCAATCTAATACACTGTTAATTACTTTATTCATTGTCTGTAATATCAAAAAAGAGAGGATAGTAACAAATAGCATTTTAAATGTTCCAGAAATATAAGAAGATAAGATATTTGCAAATATTTATAATCAGTGTTTGTATTTGACAAAAATCTAAATAATTACAAACTTCGTTTTAATGGTAAAACAGGCCAAATTGGTGAATCACGACAAGGTGATACAAATTCATAATAATGTAATAGAGAAGCTTCAAGCATTTCAATTTGAGAATCAATTGTTTGAATATCTGTAGATTGATTCAATTTACGAGGTGGCGCTTTTAACATTGATTGAATATCATATACATTTGATTCAATATTATCACGATTTTGACGATGTTGTATAGTTTTCATCATAAAATTAATATAATCAGGGTCAAGTGGAATATCCTCTTCTTCATCATCATCTTCTTTATTAAGTGCATCTTTATGATATCCTGAAGTTGTAATATAATCAAGAGCATATGATGGTAAACTATTAGCTAAAGTATCCATTCGTTTAAGTGTATTATTATAAGCTTTTCTAAAGTATTCCTGCCTATAATATAAACGTAGAACTTCATCTTCTGCATTTTTCAATAGATTAGGAACAATAGTATCTTGATGAGACGATTTACTAGATAAGGGTCCTCTTGGAAGTTTTTCAAGATATTTTAATTCATCTTCAGTAATTAGAGGTGAAAGAAGTTGAGAGATGTTTTGAACTAAGTCGACGTTGAAATTCATGTCTTTTTTACATTCATGTTTTCTAAAAGATAATATCATTATTCAGTGAAAAATGATACATATAAAAATATTGGAAGAAGAAAAAACATGTGACAACAAAAGACTTATATTTATTCAACAAAACGACTCTGGGTTTGTAATATATTGTCTTTTAAATCGGAAACATTTGGAGTTACTTCGTAATTTGTAATAACAGCTTCTCGTCTCGGTGCTGGTGTATAATCTCCCCGCAAGCCAATGTAGTGAATCCGTGATGTATCACCCCCGTAATTAGCACTGAAATGTAAACTCAGTGTTTGCACATTAGAAAATCGTGAAATTTTCAATGGATATATCACTTCACCATTTGGATCAACAGTTAATTCGAGTGATTGTTCACATTCAGCCTATTTTCTTGGCATCAAATTACATTTAGTTTAAAATAAACTTACACTTAAATCTTCAAATGTCATGAAAGGTTTATTTTTGTACAACGACACTTGACTTGGATGTTGTTCGGTATCAGCACCAGAAATAATAATACTCATTAGTTTTATATTTCCAGTAAACGGTATATTAAATAACAATTCCTGATCAACGTCACTTTCAACATAAACAGTTGAATCTTTACGATCCTAAACACAGTAATTATGAAACAGTAAGCATACCTCATAAGGCTTGAAAACAAGTTTACCACTTCCAGAAACAGATTCATTCAAACATTCTACATTATTTGTATCAATAAACCAGTACAAGCTAAACGATGGGGAATTATCGGCTTTATGCGAATGACAACAATGACCACCAATGCTGTGATCACACATGTAGTAACTGTAAATAAAATGAACTATTAGGAAGACATAGATCCTTTTTTCATAGATCTGGTATCAGATTTGTAAATTTAAGAAAAGTGAAGCACAAGGTATGGCCAATCAGTCAAATACGACGTAAGAACCTGGTACAAGTGTACATTAGTTTGTGACACCCCTTTTGCACAGAGACATGAAATCGTCAGAGTAAATCCCAAAGTAGTCGAGGAAGTAACGGGACTAATAGTGATGATGGAAAGGATAAGGCATGCAAGATACAATTCGAGAACATATCAATGAGTGGAATAATTTAAAAAATGAGGAATTTAGGAACTTCGAACTTCTGGGCAGACAAAGAGTGAATGCACCTAGGCCATCGCTAACGATGTTGAACTTCCATGCCAAGTCTCCAACTATTAATTACGATGATCACGCGGAGCCCGACCAAGAGTGAAGTAATCGAACGCGTCCATGACCTCACTTATCTTGGAAGTCTGACCACCCATAGTAGATTGATGTCTGATGAAATCTCTGCACAGATTCAAAAACTCGTTCGTAAAAATAAAGGCATAAAGCAATTTTAATCTCATGGTTTAGGGGAAGGCAAAGAGTGTATACACCTACGCAATTGTGATCGACCCTGAGCCATGTCACCCAGAGTCTCCAACCGTTGGTTGTAATAGTCACGCGGACCCCAACCAAGTAGTCTACATCTACCAACATGACTCAGACTAGAAGTTAGTGACTTAAAGGACTGGTGCCACATTTTGGTTTGGCCGCCCCAACTTTCTTCCAACCACCCTCAACAACTTCTGGTGTGAGCCATGTTGGTAGATGCAGTCTACTTGGTTGGGGTCCGTGCGACTATCGTAACCAACGGTTGGAAACTCAGGGTGACATGGCTCAGAATCGATCACAATGGTGTAGGTATATACACCTGATGTCATTTGTTGGCTGGGCCGCCTCTACTTTTCTTCTAACTCACTGGTACAGCAGCAATCATTACGCATCGAGGTAATCGGTGGATAGGCATACGTAACATATATCCCAACTATCTCAGTCAATACAGATCTACTACCTCGTCAATCGGTTTTTAATACATACCCAATACTCTACGTGTAACCACAACATTGGGAACTCGATTATTCCAAAATACAGGAGTAATGCTTTGAAGGCACCTATGATCGAATACTAGTAACCTACAAACATTCTCTATTTTTAAAAGCCATATTCCATACTCACAAAGAAGAATGCAGAGGACTGGTGAGCAGTAAACTTGCTCTTTAGTTAGCAAACGGATGTTCCTCCTACGTTGCGTTGGCAATAATCAGCCGGACTTTCTGAATTCGTGTCAAAATTTCACCAGACACCGACCCACCAGGGATGAGACTCCCAACATAAATGTAGCATTCAATATACAATCTGATGACAGTAGTATACGTTTAAATATTATTTATGGGCCGAATATTTTACAGCAATCATACCAAAATAAGTGGAGTGTTTTTGGCAGTGATCATTTGACCGGAAACCGAAAACCTGGGCGACTGAATGAAATCACGCTTTGGGTTCCACTTGAAGTAGCTCATATCTACGAACTTAAAACAAATTATGTGAATCGGATACCAATTTGTATTTACAAGGAAGTTATGACTGATTAGAAAGAAACCTTCAAAGCCGAAGTAATATGTTATTGGGAAAGCTTTCACGGAATATCGAAACAGGAATGAGTAACGGAAAATATGAAACATAATGGACCTTCAGTCAACTTGCAAGTTCCACAAGAGTAATCCCTACAATCACTAGGACTATTCCAGCTTTCCTTGATAAAATGGAAAAGAAACAATGGGTGTGGTGAAACACGAAAATATGATGGTCAAGATAGCCCTCTAGCCTACAACTGAATGACCAAAATCTCTGAATACCTGAATGTTATGACCTTACCTATATTATAAGACTGTAGTACGCACAACCTGACGAATGCCAGTTGGTGGTAAATTATGTGAAATCTTGTAATCTAATAATAAATATAAACCTCCACTGTTGACCACATCAGTATTGTAAAGCCGAGCCATAAAACAAGTAGAATGACAGAAAGGTCAAATGTCTCTTCACTGTGGCTTTTTGTTTTCATTTTCGACTAGGACTTCTAACTTATTACCTCTTTCGGGAATGTGTTTTTACACATCTCTCGGTTAAAAATCCATTAAAAATAAGTAACGTGTCCATCGTAAGAATCAGGAAATTCTGAACGAGACGTTGTGACAATTGTCACAACATTGGGGAGATTCTGAGGATTTCCCCAGGTCTGGGGAAATTTTGAGGTTTTCGTGCCATTTTCCCAAAATTTACTATAGCGGCTTCCCCAAAATTGGCAGCTTGGGAAGACTGATAAATTAAAGAAGTTTCGTTTAAACGCTGGAGATAATTTTGAGAAATCACAACGGAAAGCTTAGAACGAAACTAGGTTTTAATTTTTTCAAAATTTACCCAGAGTGTCCCAGAATTGGTAGTGTGAGATATCGCACACTTGACACGTGACATTGTCACGCAAAAGTACTTAATTTATGGAAAAAGGATAGCTTTTCACTTGTCTTCCACAATATTTTATGCGAGACATAGTCCTACAAGACTTCAGCACTAAATCAACTATGGAATTATGCTGAAATGATAAACACAGAGAACCAGGAGAATTCGAGTAAAGAAGTATGACTACTAGTAGTAGTAACGCTACACTTAAGATAACCGCGGTTCCAAATTTGCAGTTTTAAGGTCTGACGTACCATCTTAGTGTTAATTCAACGTTCTATCAAGAAACATTTCATTTTACCACCCTGCTTCAAAAAGATCTCTTCACAGTGATTCCGAGAAAAAGGGACGTAAAAATCTTTCGAGAATTGGAAATGAGTCACATTCGTCGTGCTAAAATGCATCTAACTTTTATCATCTATTTAACCGTATTATCATTGTGTAAAGTGGTTTTCGTAACCCTTTACACTCTAGCAAGTCATTATTGTGTTTTAGCGTTGAAATACATCCTTGAGCGTATCATCTTGTGAGGGATAACGAAAGAGCCTGCCTATAAATGCTTGCAGACGTCTTAGTGAGTGTAGCGGTAAATAAATCCTCAAAATAAGTAACTCTGTAAGTCTTCGACACTGTATGCTGACCACATTCGTTTTAATGGACTCACCCAGCTGAAGGCGCTCGGTCATGCATCCACACCGAATCATGATTGGTAACGCCATGCTCAACATCCCCTGCAATCGCTAGCCAGATTAGATCAGTCGATCCTCGACATATTGATAGCCTATCAAATATATCTTCGAACTTCCTCGCTTCTGTCTTTGGATTTTACTTGGTGGGTATGATTCATATTAGAAGGTGTTACTGATTAAAGCGTTGTCAAACTCCGAGTGCCTGTAGCATCTTCATGAGAATAGCTTACAAAATGTTACACTTGCCCCTGAATTAGGCAAAACTCTATTGATCCATATTCCAGATGGAGCGTCAGGAGTAATAATCCCTCAGTACCCAAAAGTTATTTCTTACAATCTGAACGGCAATGTCGCAAAACGATTGTTTACTATTTCCTCTTGACAAAGTTGGAAGGTCAAGGATGGTTCGGGACCCTGCATCTCTTTGGTGTTAATTGGCTCATTACAAAGCCAAAATTGATATCGTCTCCTAAATACAATACCTCCAAACCGATGGCTGGCTTATTCGTCATACCTCTTTTCTAAAGTCATCACCTCAGAAATTGTGAAAAAGCGATCATTAGCTCTCTTGAAAGATAGAAATTGATAATATTTAAATTCAGAACAGTCATTCAACTAGCGTAGTGGTAGAAGGCCGAGAAATATAATTCTAATTAATTTATTGAGTCATGTTGAATCTCAAAATCTGCTAGCTTCAGAACAACATGAACCTTACAAGAGTCTTTCATACGTGATTTGCTTATTAATTATGATAACGCATTGGACACCAACTTAGAGTAACAGTTTTTTCTGTCGACACAATATTCGTAGGTTATAACGTGGTATAATGGGCCTCCTAGTATTTCAAATCTAAGTTCATGAGTCATTAATACTGGTTAGGTAGTCAGCTCTGTTATGCAGACCAGTAAGTAGTAATATTATTAAGCTTTGGCTTCTGGCTGTTTTTTGACGGAGAGATATAATTCTTCTTATGCTCTGTTTGATTTCCTCAAGTCGTTACGGTAAGTAATATTGATTTCATTGTTATAAACCATACATATGTATTAGTGTGCAGTCGTGATGAGAAACGATGTAATTCCTTCCGGTAAAAACACTGAACGACAATCGAGGGACAGTTACATCTTGAGTTATTTTCCTCGATATCTGTGAACTTAAGTTAACGGGAGCCTTCATTTCAAGTGATGATCAAGAAATCACATCATCATTACTTCCTGTTGTAAATTTCACTTGCGAATTCTCACCACAGAGAAATTCGTATAAATTTCCATACTACTCATATCGTGTTCTAACATTAATATTAGTTTAACAGTTTGGTAGTGAATTTATTGGAGAGAAGAGAATTAAGAGGGACATGAAATATGATGGCCACGTCCCATCTAACACTTACATACTGTACAGGTTAAAATGTGGAGCTGATACGAGAGCTATGTAGGGTTTGTCCTTCAGCCCAAACAACTTTTCATACCTTGACTGAACACAATCTAAGAGAGCGACAATCTTAGGCAAACACTAAAATGATTTCAAGCAGTTCGTCAGTCAACCCATTCCAAGTTATAAAGAGACGCTTAACTTGTGCATCCTTGATAAACTCCAGAAAACCGATGGGACGAGATACTTGGGGTACCACAAAGAGTCATCGAAACTTTTGGTGGGTAGATATTAATAAGTATGCTGAAATTAACTTCTCCAATAAACATCCCTACGTGGAGAGCATCAAAATCGGTTAGTTGCCGAAAGTTTCTATCAAGTGGTCCCCTTTGTGTAAGGATGTAGCTACATCATTCCTAGTGTGATGGTAGT